CTGGAGACCATAACCTCTTCCTTGATTTCACCTGCTAGGGATGACTTGGGAATCCTTTTTCCTGTCAGATCTTTTTTTTAAAAAAAACAGAGCTTTTGTGAAGGTTTTTCTCTCCACACAAAAAGTGACGAGGCCTTGGCTTACAGTCGCAGTGAGGAACTTGTGGCCCTTTGAAGAGTGAATGAATGAATGAATTATAAGCCTTTCATCCAAAGATCACAGGGCAGTTCACAACATAAAAATACAAAATAAGAACACAAAATACATACTAAAATGAAAACAAACCAATAACCTGACCTCCCACAATTGTTGCTGGCATCTGTCTGTCTTGGGAGATATTGGAAGAGTGGACCTTTGGATAGGGTTGCTATAAGTCTGGGAATTCCTGGACATGCCCTCTTTTGGGGGTTCTACATGCCCATGGGGGGTGTTTTACATTTTAAAGCAAATGTCCTGGATTTTGTGTTTTCGTTTTGTTTTCTTGTTCGTGGGCTGCTCTGGCATGGGCAGCGGGGCTATCTGGCAATTGCCCTAAAAAAAATTCAAACTGTGGGAAGCTTGCAGCACCTTCTGTGGCTGTAGAGGCCAATACGGGAGAGACATGTTTTATTGCAGGTGGGGCTGATGAAGGTGCCCAGTTGTGCAGATGCACCACGGCGTTTCTTCTCTTTGTGCTCCTCCCAGCAGTCTTTCCTCCTCTGGTCACTGCTGTGGATACACAACCTGACACTAACACTTTTATAGGGTTGCCATATTTCAAAAAGTAAAATCCAGGACACCTTGGTTGAGCTTTATTTTAGGAAACCCCCAAAGTTGTGGGGGTTTTTTACAAAACACCCCCCCCCAAAAAATGCAATTTTTTGATTGTCCAAGATCCATCCAGGGCAAAGAGCTGCCTTTTTGGAAATTCCCCCCAAACGCCAATTCCACCTGTCAAATCCTGGTGATGTCCGGGAAAATCCAGATGTATGGCAGCTCCACACATTGTTATTGGCCTTTATTGGCACAAGTTTAAACAGTAAAATCATACAAAATCATACAATATCATACAAATACATTAATAATAGAATTAATCAGCCAAAGGCCTGGTTAAAGAGAAATGTCATTGCTTGGTGACTGTTCGTCCAACATTGCCAATGGTCAGGGATGATGGGAGCTAAAGTCCAGCAAATCTGAAGGGCCACAAATCCTCTAGCTCTGCTTTAACGGTCTCATTCTTCAGGACTAGGACAGATTGTTGTTGTTGCCACTGCTGTTACAATTTATACCCCAACCTTTCCCCCAAAGGAGCCCAGGGAGGCAAAAAAATATCAATTACGATATCATTAACACATTCTAAAAAGGAGTTAAAAAATTATACTGCCGCTTATTTGCACTGCAAAATAAGAGGTTATGCTTATGGGATAAAGAAGAAGAGCTTGTCTTCCTCTCTAGCTGAGATTCCTGCATTGCAGGGGGTTGGAATAGATGGCTCTCGCGGTCCCCTGCAACTCTGCAATTCTATGATTCTAATAGTAATATCTAGCCATCTCTTTCTTGCCCCCTTGGTTTAGTTCCTATGTTGTTTTGAGAAGTTCAAATTAGGTAGATTTGCCTTTAAATGAGAACTGGATCACAGGTCTTCTCTCCCACCCTTAACTGAGACAAACTGAGTAAGTGTGGCTGAAATAGTTTTGAGTTGCAACTTTTCTGTATTAACGACAGCTGAATTTTAATGGAGCAAGAATTATTCCTCATCTACCTAACCTCTTACCTTTACATTGGTATATTCTTTCACAGGAGGGAAGAAAACATTTTAGAAACAGTTTGTTTTGGGCACTCTTAAAGAAATAATCTAAATCACTAAATTTACATGCAAAAGGGGTTTCCTGAAGGGTTTAAATACGCTTTTTAAAAAATCAACAATGGATTGCTACACATGGTGGGCTTTGTGTCACACATATGCTGTTTCTGCCCCCGCCCTCCCTCTTCTTTGGATCAGGAGGAAAATGTTGCAGTTATAAGGGATTATTTAGAAATCAAGTCAATTCAGGTTAATACAATTTCTGGGAAAGGTTCCTTTTTGGCGTGTCTGCTGAAAATAGCAAAGAACGAGCAAGAGCAAAAGCCTAAATCAGTGTATTTGTATTGCTAAGATTCTTGCACAACATTCAAAACTTCAGCCTCTCTTTCATTGACCTTAGAAAATTAAGATCCCAAATTCATACCAATGTACCCCATAATATTCCCTTGTGTCATCCAGGTTTATGTTGCTTGTTATCCATTGTGGTGTTTTAAAACGAAGAGATTGCAAAACATTTTCAGGTTAAAAACAAGAAAAAAGCTTTAAAACAGCTACTACAGCTCACAACTACAGTAACTTCTCTCCCTTTGAGTGTTGTTTGTTGTTTAGTCGTTTAGTCGTGTCCGACTCTTCGTGACCCCATGGACCAGAGCACGCCAGGCACTCCTGTCTTCCACTGCCTCTCGCAGTTTGGTCAGGCTCATGTTCGTAGCTTCGAGAACACTGTCCAACCACCTCGCCCTCTGTCGTCCCCTTCTCCTTGTGCCCTCCATCTTTCCCAACATCAGGGTCTTTTCCAGGGAATCTTCTCTTCTCACGAGGTGGCCAAAGTATTGGAGCCTCAACTTCATGATCTATCCTTCCAGTGAGCACTCAGGGCTGATTTCCTTCAGAATGGATAGGTTTGATCTTCTTGCAGTCCATGGGACTCTCAAGAGTCTCCTCCAGCACCATAATTCAAAAGCATCAATTCTTCGGCGATCAGCCTTCTTGATGGTCCAGCTCTCACTTCCATACATCACTACTGGGAAAACCATGGCTTTAACTATACAGACCTTTATTGGCAAGGTGATGTCTCTTCCCTTTGACTATGCTGATTTAAACCCCAAAACAATCTTCATGATTACATTGAATTCACATGGGAAACCAACATGAGGTTTGCAATGCATTTACAGTTTCACTCCTCTTCTAGACTGAAGCCAGCTAAGCACAAATGATTAAAAGTCAGAAAGCATTTAATGCTGTTACACTGTTAAAGCTAAGAATGGTCTCCACCTATTGTCACATCCATACCCTACATTTAAAGCAGTATGATCAGAGGTGGAGCTAGCTGCTCTAGCACCCCGGGGGTGGGGCTAGCACCCCAGGAGGTGCCTCCCGTGGCGAGCGGCGAGTGTCCCGGGGGGGCAGCATGGCAATGTCAAACCCCCCCCCCAGGGATGACACCCAGGGCAGACAGCACCCGCCGCACCCTTCCTCCACCAGTGACTATGATACCACTTTAAACGGTCATGGATCCCCCCCAAAGAATCCTGGGATCTGTAGTTTGTTAACCAATGGCAATGGCACCCACTTGAATCTCCGGAATGGAGATTCTGTGAGTTCCAGCTGAAAAAAAAGCCTTGTTGCTGGGAGTTACTGTGGTAAAGGTAAAGGGACACCTGACCATTAGGTCCAGTCGTGGCCGACTCTGGGGTTTTGGCACTCATCTTGCTTTATTGGTCAAGGGAGCCAGCGTACAGCTCATGTGGCCAGCATGACTAAGCCACTTCTGGCGAACCAGAGCAGCACACGGAAACGCAGTTTACCTTCCTGCCGGAGCGGTACCTATTTATCCACTTGCACTTTGACGTGCTTTCAAACTGCTCGCTTGGCAGGAGCAGGGACCGAGCAACGGGAGCTCACCCCGTCGCGGGGATTCGAACCGTCGACCTTCTGATCGGCAAGTCCTAGGTTCTGTGGTTTAACCCACAGAGCCACCCACGTCCCGGTGGTACCTCGGGTTAAGAACTTAATTCGTTCCAGAGGTCCATTCTTAACCTGAAACTGTTCTTAACCAGAGGTACCACTTTAGCTAATGGGGCCTCCCACTGCTGTCACCGCACAATTTCTGTTCTCATCCTGAAGCAAAGTTCTTAACCCGAGGTATTATTTCTGGGTTAGCGAAGTCTGTAACCCGAAGCATCTGTAACCCGAGGTACCACTGTATTAAGAGACCCCTATTCCCCTTCTAGAGCTAAAACTAGCAGAGTGTTTCAACACTCTATCCTTCTTCACAAGGAACTTGTATTTATCAAAGGCAAATATTTCAGGGATCCTGCACTAGAGGGACCCATGCTCTGACTCACTATAAGGCAAAGTATAGAGTATTTGCTTGAAGGAAACAAATACTGTTAAACTATCTACCTATCTATCCAATCTTTCTTCCAGGTTGGAAGTCAAATCAGTCGATATCGCAACCATGGGCTTCTTCGTGAAGAAGAGCAGATTATAAATTCAATAAATAACAACATGTGGAGTTCCTGGGTGTTATCCCATCCAGGCACTGACTAGATCCAAACCTGCTTAGTTTTAGCACAATTGCTTCTTCGTGCAATTTGCATCCACATCCCTGTTTCCGTCATTTGAGAGAGAGCCAGTGTGGTGTAGTGGTTAAGAGCAATAGACCCGTAATCTGGGGAACCGAGTTCGCGTCTCCGCTCCTCTGCATGCAGCTGCTGGGTGACCTTGGGCTAGTCACACTTCTCTGAAGTCTCTCAGCCCCACTCACCTCACAGAGTGTTTGTTGTGGGGGAGGAAGGGAAAGGAGAATGTTAGCCGCTTTGAGACTCCTTCGGGTAGTGATAAAGTGGGATATCAAATCCAAACTCTTCTTATACTCTTCTTCTCTTCTGTAAGATACCTGAGCAGCTTGCAACAAACTCTCCATGCAAAATGTGACCCACCAGCAGCCATGTACGGCAGCCTGCCACATGCTTTTTTTTGGCCACGAAAAGCAGAGGGCTTGCCACAATGCGTCACGAACCACAAGACTGCTTTGGGCTTTGTGGGTTACAACTGTGCAAGCCTATCTGACAATATGCGCTTCAGATGCATAGGACTACAATGCCCATCAACCCAAGCAGAATAGGCAATGGTCCAGAAGGATGGGAGTTGTAGTCTGCATCTGGAGAAAAGCACATTGGCTACTACGCCAATACACAAGTCAAAGAAGGGAAGGACTGTAGCCCAGTGGTAGAGCACCTGCTTTCCATGCAGAAGGTTGCAGGTTCAATCCCCAGCATCTGCCTGGAAACTTGGAGAGTTGCTGGCAGTCAGTGTAGACAATACTGAGCTAGATGGACTCAGTATAAAGCATTTTCCTATGTTCCTAAGAAGAGACCGTTTCTTCTTTGAAATGGATTGTGTCCATTCTTCCCATCCACTGGTAATGTTTCTAGTAAATATTTGTAACACCGCCAGCCCCTTTTGAATTGCCTGCAATTAGCTTATCTCCAATTATATAAACAGGTACATGATGACAGTGTTTGGTAGCAGAGGAATTATGGAGAAAATAAGGGGTTCTTTACTTTGAATGGAGGTATTAGTGGAAAACAGATTAAAGCTTATGTGGATATCTACAATAGTAGATAGGCTAATTCCATTGTCTGTTTCTCTCAAATTATTTTATTAGATGCAACATATTCCTTATAATGAAAGCAAACCCCTGACTCGGTTGCCTTCTCATAAAAATTCCTTTGTAGGATCCCGACAGGATTTCCCCTCATTTCTCCATGTTGATGAAATTAACTCCCTGTGGTTGGTCATCTTGATAATCTAATTTTGGCCAATCGGCTCGGGAGGCACCATTTACCTCACAAAAAGGTATCTGCTGTCATAGCAACAAGTGGCTTTGCTCTGATCATCTTTGGCTCCTTCCGCATAATGAAAGGCCCCAGCTTGCTTTTTAGATGATTAATCTTTTCCCCCTGTGAGCCTACTTGAATATATTAGCAAAACAAGTACGAAAAATTTGTTTATCCCAAGACAATCAACAGAAAATTACCTGCAAACGTAATTCTCATTAGGCCGCCCTCGGTGAATGGCACGCCATATGGTTAATGAGAAGCGGGAAGAAGCAATAAAAAATCTTCCTTGACTGCAACAGGTTGCTAAAAGTTTATCGGCTTTTTCAATCTGAAAGTTCAAAGCAACTGGGGCAGGGGTGAGGGTGACTTAGAAAAAAATACCAACCCAAATAAAAATTCAAAGATGGCCTTGTTGTGCCATAAATCCAGGCCTGGCCTGAGGGCCCAATTCACACACCCAAACTGGCAAATTAAAAAGAATGATGGCATGTTCTCTTCCATCTGCGCCTGCTTTCGTGCTGCAGAGCTACGTGAAACCTACGTCAAATTTTGTGGGCCGAGGGGGAATGTGTTGGCTGTGATCTTCAAATGAGTCAGAGCATTCATGAAACTAAAAATAAAAAAGGCAACTCGCAGTGGCTTGACTACATCGCAACGATCGCATCAATGCAACTTTTGTCTGGCAAATAATACAGCAACCGTAGGACTGATTCACAAGCCCAGCGAGCTATGGATTATCTCCATATGGTGAAGGAGCAGTAATGAGCATTCTCTCCTCTCACCTACAGTGTGCTTAAGGTATTTACAGTACAATACTACAGGGGTTACCAGACCTCTAGGTCTGTCCTGAAGTCTCCAGGTTTGCCTGGCCCCTCCTGGTCTGGCTTGAATCTCCAGGTGGGCGAGGGCAGAGCCGTACCTAGGCTGCCTTGCGCCAGGAGCAAGCACCCCACCACACACACACCTTGCACCCTTGGCAATAAGACGTATTGGTGCACCACCCTTTGTGTCCCTTGCCAGATGAGTCTTTGTGCCTCACCAGGACATCCAGAGCAGTAGAGGAGTGGGGAACAGGCAGGCTCCTAACCGCTCCAAGCCACAGTCAAGAGGCAGGGTTTTGTGTACTCCCCAGGGCCTGCGCCCTTGGTGGGGGGCCAACTTGGCCAACCCCAGGTACTCCCCTGGGTGAGAGTGCCTTTAATTTTATACAGAGAGAGAGAGAGAGAGAGAGAGATTATTGTAGATGCAGATTACGTACTTTAGCTCCTGCGCCTCCATCACCTGGGATTAGACCCCAGGTCTAAAGTCTGGGGCCTGAAATCTCAAGTTCCAGGATGCTCCTGACCTTGCAACCCTCATGTGGAAGCCAATCCTCTTAGGTTCGGTGGGCGTGACTCCCAGTAAAGTGTTATAGGCCTAGCTGTCAACGTTTCCCTTTTTTAAAGAGAAATTCCCTTATTCCGATTAGGATTCCACGCAAGAAAAGGGAAAAGTTGACAGCTATGGTTATTTCCCAGTCGTGATGTACGGAAGTGAGAGCTGGACCATAAAGAAGGCTGATCGCCGAAGAATTGATGCTTTTGAATTATGGTGCTGGAGGAGACTCTTGAGTCCCATGGACTGCAAGAAGATCAAACGTATCCATTCTGAAGGAAATCAGCCCTGAGTGCTCACTGGAAGGACAGATCCTGAAGCTGAGGCTCCAATACTTTGGCCACCTCATGAGAAGAGAAGAATCCCTGGAAAAGACCCTGATGTTGGGAAAGATGGAGGGCACAAGGAGAAGGGGACGACAGAGGACGAGATGGTTGGACAGTGTTCTCAAAGCTACCAGCATGAGTCTGACCAAAATGCGGGAGGCAGTGGAAGACAGGAGTGCCTGGCATGCTCTGGTCCATGGGGTCACGAAGAGTCGGACATGATTAAACGACTCAACAACAACAACATGGTTATAGGACTGCAGTCTTAATGTATTTTTATATCCTGCCCTTTGGTTCCAAAGAGCTCCCAGTGCAGTTATGGTAAAATTAACCTGCCTCTTAGGGTTACCATGGGGATAAAATGGGGGTAAAACTGCCACTGCGAAGAAAAGGTGGGATATAAATGTGACAAATAAACATTATCCCCTTTTTTATGGTGAGGGAGTGAAAGGCTGTGATGTCTGTTCAGCTTCTTGCTTGCTCAACCAGGCAAACAAGTCAATATGGCAAAAGCCACATTCCATATTATCACTAACCTATTTGTACCAGGTATTTAGTACCTACATTGTTCCTGGGTTGGAGGCACAACCACATTAGCATAACCACCTATTAGAAGCAGAGACATACCTTGGTGTCCTCTTGCACCACCGCAAAAATAAAATACCTCTCTACGTGATGCTGACACAAAGTTTTGCTCATATACTATGGGAAAGAATGGAATTCTACTGTCTCCCCCCTTTCTAACTCTCTCTCTCCTCACTTATCTTAGATAGCTCAGTTGGTTAGAGAGTGGTGCTGATAATGCCAAGGTTGCAGGTTCGATCCCCCATATGAGACACCTGTATATTCCCGCATTGCAGGGGGCTGGACTAGATCAGAGCTTTCCAAACTTTTCTTGTCAGGGACGCACATTTTAGATGTGCATCATTTTGCGACACAGTAATTCAGTTTTATTAGCAAACCTGAGGTTTAACTAACCCCTTTCCAGCCCTGGGAGGAGTGCAGGCAGCATTCGCATGACACACCTACTCACTACGGCCGACACACTAGCATGTTGCAACACATAGGTTGGAAAGCTCTGAACTAGATGGTCTTCAGGGTCCCTTCCAACTCTACAATTCTATTCTTCTCTTTTCCTTCAACCCCATAATGCATATGAGACAGTAATGTCTCACCCTGAAGATGACTGTTTTGTTTGAATGGTTCAAGATTTTCTTGTTAACCAGGAAAATCTTAATAGAAACATTTAACAACAACAATACTGCCTAAGGAGGGGTAGCCAATATTGTTACCTCTAGATGTTGTTTAACTCCAACTCCTATCATCCCAAGCCCCGCAGCCAATCCTTACGGGTTATGGAAGCTGTAGTCCAGGAAGATCTGGAGACCATCATGTTGACAACCCCTGGAAAGTTTTGGTCATAGAACCATTGATTTCTTGAACTAAGCCTTCCCCTCCACTTATTCCCTTACTCCGTTAGAAACACTGGATTGTATTTTTAAAGGGTTAATCTCCTGCCCTGTGTTTGTACAGAGACAGAAGTAACAGGATGTATGTTCTTGCTTAATAATAATAATATTAGCAATAATAATAATAGATATTTTTCTAGAAAGAGAGGTGCCGGGACTCTCCATAAACACCTCCCTCATTCTCATAGAATGGTAATGGCACCCACCTGAGAGGTGCCAGAACTGAGTTCTGGCTGAAAAAAAGTAATAATAATAATAATAATAATAATAATATAGATTTCCCCCCTCTCTCCTAGCCTGAATTGACTTCCCACCAACTAGTGGAAGGGTGGAACGTGTTCTCTAACAATTATAAATCCTTGGATTCATGTGGTATAGTAAATGGTAACTATGCAATTAGTTAGAAGGAGCATATTTATAACCTGACAACAATTGGCGCATCATCCGGCATTTCAGAAATGATTCTGTTATTAATAATTCATGCTCAAGAAACCCATATGTGGGCAGTGAAGCAGAAGCAAAGATGAAAACGGAGGCTGATCTGTGAGTAACCTTACATCTGTACAGAGCCCAGTGGAACTAAGTTACAACGTTTTGCCTCTCACGATGTACGCACCAATTCAGCAGGAAACTGTCACCCTTAATATCTGTTTGCCAGCGCCACTTCTGAGGTGCATGGATAATAGGAGTGCAGGCACAGGGATAAAGGTAGATGATATTATCATGTGTGTATCAATGATTCATTGAGTGGGGTGGAGAGAGAGAATCTCTTGGAGGGTTAGAGATCTGAAAGAGTTCAATTAAGCACTAGTTTGTCTTCCATTGTCTCATATGGGTGGCTGGGTTCGTTGGAAAAGCTGGAATCCCCAAATTTTGAATTCATCAATTCAGCTGATAGTTGGGTTTCCAATTGAGAAGAAGCCCAGTTCATCAAATTAAAGAAAAAGAGGGAGGGCCCTTGGAACAAAAGTTGTTCAGATTAAAACAGACCACAATGTGTGGTGCCCTGATGCTACAGAGTACTTTGCTTGAAGATTCACTTGGCCCTGCTGGCTAGGTTCAATTCTAATCCTTCTAACCTCCTTTGGGGTAGGTTTGCGGGTATGGCAGAAGGAGATAGGATCTGCCCATGCGATGCCCACCTGGTGGAAACTCTAGCTCACACGGCCCTTAAATGTAAAATGTATGATGATCTCAACCAACAATTTCTAGACCATCTATGTATTCCAACATGGAAACCAGAGACGGAGGTTATGCACTTCTTATTACAGGGGAGAGACCA